AGCCTCAGCGGTTTTTCCATATGCAGCATATGCAAATAAATGGCTCCAACACTTAGCTGCATATGGAGCCGTATTTTTGCGCTGCGATGGGCTGGGAATTTCTGCATATATTAAGCGCGTACGCTACATTTAAGTTTCTACTAAAAATGATGCATTCTGGGATTGCATACAGTTCACGCATATATGTGTATATACGCGTCCATACACATTTACAAATATGCGTACAAAAAGAGGACTTTTTCCAACCTTTAAAAAATAAATAATTTTATACTATACTTTTAGGGGCTTTAGGGAAATATTGGGGGTCTAAAGAGACCCCTGATATTTCCCAAATCCCATACCTTTAGCGCAACGCTATAGTGTGAATCAGCCCTAAGATGTCGTCTCAGAAAGAACAGTTACCTAAATGCTGGTGCCTATGGAGTTCTTGGCTGTGCTCACAAATGTCAGACACAGATCAGCCCGTGCTGCACCATCTCATCTTGTGACTGGCTACAAAGTTACAATGTACAGCCTAATCACTGGGGGAGGGGAGACTGAGGAAACGCTTCCCCTGGCTATAGGAGACTAATGACCTCATCTCAGCCTAGACAAAGTCACTGGACTGAAGCTCGAGGGCGACTTATAATTATAAAAGCTACAACAGTTCTTTGTTATGTTGTTGCAGATCAGGAATTTGTTACACAGGCTTGTAAAGCTACTGAAAGGTCCTTTAAACGGCCTTCCTCTTTCTAAACTAGCTGGAAATCAACATCGTTACACCCTGAGCATCCAGTGCCAAGAAGTCAGTGGTAACGGAACAGAAAAATCTGCCGGCGATTCCCTGAAGACGCCAGGAAAGCGTTAATCTGACAGCGAGCGCGCTGCAAGATCAGCAGAGCTGGAAGGTGAACGTGGTGTTAATTTGATGCAGAGATTCAGCCCAGACAGGTTGTAACATGAATATAAACCATCGAGCTGCCACCGAACACTTGGCAACCCCGGTCATATTTTCCAGGGATTCTGCAGAACGAGGACGGCCTGGCGTGAGCCTCTGCAGAGCATCGCAGCTTCTGCAAAACACAAAATTCAAGACAAAGAAACCGCAATCTTCTCCGGTACTAATGCGGCGACAAGACGCCAAATGCCTGTTCAAAGCGGCAACGCAAATCTCAAGTGGCACCAATAAAAATAACCGCTTTCATACAGTTCCATGGACACGTTGGGGTGTGTCATCACAAAGCACAAGCATCAAAAAGTGCAGCAATTAAAGCCGATCTCCATTCTAACCAGAAAACAGGATGCAGGCTTTAAAAAAGCTGGAAAAATTCAACAAACATCCCCCAAAAAATAAAATGTCCTTTTTTAATGGAGCGAAAATTAATATCTTGTCCAGGACCCGTCACTGCTCCTGCCTAAAAGCAGAGGTTGCATCAAGCAGAACAAGGGAAGCCAAGCTTTTCTTTCCTGGTTCAGATCTCCTCCGCTAGGACATGCTGGGGTGGCCAAAAAAACAAGTACCAATTTACCGATTTCCTACTCCGGTGTCTCACGCTTCGATTAGAACAAGGTGATGATTTACTGAGTCACTCAGTTTAAAGCTGGGCCCCCAAAAAAAGGGTCATGATTATGCTTTGTGTATTTCTTCCAGATCTGTGCAATGATCCAAGTGGAACTTCCTGTGATAAAGACCAGTCACTGGTGCTCTCTGTCCTTGTGCAGGGTGACTGGTCTGGTCTCAGCCCCCTTCTATCATAAAGACTGGTCACTGCTGCTCTCTCTCCTTGTGCAGGGTGACTGGTCTCGTCTCCGCCCCCTTCTATCATAAAGACTGGTCACTGCTGCTCTCTCTCCTTGTGCAGGGTGACTGGTCTGGTCTCCACCCCCTCCTGTAATAAAGACTGCTCACGGCTGCGCTCTCGTCTCCGCCCCTGAAAGTATAGTATAAAAATATTTTTTATTTTTTAAAGGTTGGAAAAAGTCCTCTTTTGGTTTCAGCCTGACAAATTTTAGGTTCAGGTCTAAAAATTTTCATTTTTGGTGAATCCTTAAAAATAAAAAAATAAAACACTGAACTTAACAAGCCCATGTTGGGTCTATGGGCAGCTGGATGTAAACGTGTGTGTAATATATAGTGCAAAATTATTGAGAAGGACGCAAACCTTGCTTCTCTTTTTTTATTTATTTTTTGGGCCTATCCTGGGAGATCTGCTTTATATTAAATACAATTTTTTTGTATTTTTGCGAATAAAAAAAGAATTCTAATTTTTGGTTTTGATGTAGCTGCTTTTGGTCACCTGTAACCCATTTTTCCATCATCCCAATGATAAGACAGAGATTATGGTGGGGAGGGGAAGTGAGAAGGCAGATGCCGTGTCTTTGAATTATTCATGGTGGGTTTACACTCGCGGTGGTGATGTGCCAAGTTCATGGTAAACAGACGTTCCCTGTCCAGAAGGTGAGAAACTGTCACTCTCTATAGGACAGCTGTCTGGGCCCCCTTTTCAGTCTGTCACTTCCCCTTGTGGTGCTCCGGCTCCGCCATGCATGAAGAGCCTTCTTCTGACCCCAAACGTTAATCTCTTTGTATTTGGTCAGTGTGCATATGTGTCCATGTGCTGAGGGAGCAAGGCTTGGCTACTGGCAATGGTAATGCCACTTTGATGGGGAGTGCATGATGTACCATGACTATTACGTTTACATATTTTAAAGTGTATTTCCATATTTTACTCTGCTTTTCTGTAATTGCCCCAACATTTTTTAGAGTAACTTTATTTTAAAAACTCCAGAGTTAAATCTTCAAAATACATTCAAGTTCCCTAATTTAACAAAAATGTATCTTATTTGTGTATCACTCGGCTGTAGAGGCTCCAATCATCTCTGAATTGGTGCTGGCACTGTCCTTCCTTCTGGAGGGTGGCTACTTTTGTTCCCCATGGTCCCTGTGTGTATTATGACGTAGTCACCGCTCCAAGCTTACTCCCGTGATGGACTACATTCTCAATATGAATTGGTAAACTAAACGTGAAATTGTAGTCCATCACGGGGTGGAAGCCAGTTCACTTGGTATTCTAGTTTTTGCAGGACACGAGCATTCAGTGGAGAACCATGTGCACTTAAAAAAAAAAAAAACCCCCATACAGAGTGTCCTTTTGTGAGAATCTGACCTAAACCAACAGGGTTATAAGGCAAGTGAGCTAACCAACTAGCCACCATGCTGAATTTGCTGGCCACTTCATTGAGCTGGGTTTGCTGGCCCCTTCATTGAGCTGAATTTGGAGAAGTATCACAATATGGCAAGAGTTTCCCGGGTATCATAAAAAAATCAAGGGACTGTGCACCCGGCCTTTCCATTATAAATGGTGGAGCATATTCATATAATTTACCTTGTTCTGCTCCCCTGTGATGTCTTGTTTTACTTGAGCAGTCATGTACGCTCCTAGTCATTATTAGAAGACTCATCAAGCCACAGGTCATTTACATGAACTGCTCTGTGAATCGGTCAGCACATGCATCAAAGCTGCCCCTGCGTTTAGGCCTTTTAGGTTGCATCATTTTACCAATTTATCTGAACTTTGATGTTGGCGGCTCTGTGAATAATACGGCAGTGTAGTATTTCAGTGTAGCAGTTAATCACTCACCATCGCCTTCCTCATTACATACACTGTGGACGCAGATCTTTTGTTCTGGGCATATTTTACATTTTCTTGGGCCTTTTCTTTCCTCTTACGTGCTTCTTCATTTTGCTTAGTCTGTCTGGCCTTTCACTTTTTTCAGATATTGCCGGGTGTCATGGGCAACACCAGTGTATTGCATCAGAGTATATACCCCTGGTGCCCAAGCTCGAGCCCTTTTTGCACTTGTTGTGCCGGGTTCCCCTTACCTAGGTCCTTACTCAGGCCAGTGAAGGAAAAATATTCTTATGAATTTGGTTCTAGTAGTAAAATGTTATCTGTTGTCCTATATTTTTCTCTGATCTTTTTAGAAGAACATATTACATGTGCATTACATTCATTAAAAGTGTGGCTAATTTGTCATGTCGGGCCACACTTGAGTCCCCCATATAAAAATGATAGATGTGGGTTAGATGGGGGTCTACAGTAGCCTCTATATCTGTTCATGCAGTGATCTGTCAATGTATATAGTTGGAGAGCATCTTCATTGTCACTTAAAGGAGAACTATGAGGTGAGTGAAAATCACTCAGCCTCATAGTTCGAGCCGACGTGTGACATTGAAACTCACATGTCGGCTCAATAGATCGGGAAGTGAGCGAACACATACCGTCGCTCACTCACTTCTCGATCATCTCCCTGCAGAGAGCTGTGACTGTTACTCATGGCTCCCCCTCTTCGATCCTCCAGCGCTGAGTGGAGTAACGGACAGGGGAGGGGGCGGGCACAGCTGGCTCTGCCTCTAGATAGGCAGAGTCAGCTGTCAATCATGCAGCTGGGTGGATCTCGACCGCATTGTCTGGATCCGTTCCGACTGCGGCGGTCTCAGTATACCGCGAGCTGTAGCTCACAATATACTGAGCGTTGGGTCACGGGAGGACGCTAGTATATGTCCTCCCGTGACCCTAAAGAGAACTATGGGGAAAAACACTTACCCCATAGTTCTCTTTTAAGGTCATGCACAGTGCAGCTAGCAACCTCGGGATGGAAGCAGGGCATATTATGTACACCACTCAGAATGTGAGACAATTCTAGATGCAGAATCACATGAGGAATTATGTGATGTGAAACTAAATAGAACATATGCACAAATGGTTATTTAACAAAGGATTTTTGTGAGTGTTTATAAAACCACCAAAGTAACCTGCAGTGTATATCCACCTTTGTCCTAAAGTAGTTTCTGATTTTCTTGGGCTTGTTTGTGATCCCTTGATGGCCACCACTGCAACAGCTGTCTTAAAACATGAGCACACTTAGCTTTTTTCAGTAAACCAGTTTGTTCTTACTGTAGGCATGGTCTGCATGGCCCGAATGTGCACGCTCCTAATATTTTCCTCTTTCTTCTTCAGGATGAGGTTGAAGAGCTGAGGTCAGAGATGTTGGAAATGAGAGACGTCTATATGGAGGAAGATGTTTATCAGCTGCAGGAGCTCCGGCAACAGCTGGAACAAGTGCACAAGACTTGCCGAATCCTGCAGTACCGGCTGAAGAAATCCGAGCGCAGAGGGCTGAGGGTGGCACAGACGGGACAGGTCGACTGCGAATTCATCAACACCCTCGAGCAAGATGTCAAGGTATTCATTACATGCAAATGATATCTTCACATGGGAGCATCAGCCACAAACACTGCAGAAATCTGAGGATGAATTCTGGGCCTTCAAAACCATTGTTTACTGCCAACAGTATAGGTGTGGTTTAAAGGATTTTCAGAGCTAGTGTCACCAGTTCAGCTTTACTTTTTGTCCTGTGCTCAAAACATTTGTGTTCTTTGAGCAGACTGATATTTCATTGAAGCCAGCAGGTTAAAGTGAACCTGAAATGACACTAAAGTGGGAAAAAATGCCACCAATCCCATACAGCAGGTAACTCCTGGTTCCCACAGGTCAGTTTAACTTAAGCTAGCCTTAACCTGTACAAATTTTGTCCGGTTCTTGATAAACCGAACGAAATTCATTCAATGGGTGTTCTGTCTCGCATCTTTTGATCAATAAATTGAAGGAGCCGGATGAAAAATCTTTAGGTAAACCATGTCGGCAGCAGGAGGACACAGTGGGAGATTTGTAAATCCACACTATTTGGCATATATAGAGGAACCTGATATATATATATATAAATTTTATTTTGTTCAGCCTGCAGGTTTTGCAAAAAAATAAAATATATAATATATATACCATAGTATAGCTTTAGCTAAATAGCAGGGCACTCCTGAAATGCAGAGGTTGGCCAGCACCTTCTGAGCCATAGTGCAGGCTCATATCTATTATAGGCAGCCTCATTTGGTCAGTATAGTGGTGCAGATTAGGGCAGTCCTGGTTATCAATCAAGAAGCCCAATCCGTATTTGATTTCCAGAGGGAGAAGAAATTTAGGGCACCCTGAATGCTGTGTGCAGTTTTGGAGACTTCACATACAAAAGATCATTGACTAGACAGAACATGTCCAAAGACGGGCAACAAAAATGTTGAATGTTTTAGCCCTTGGACCTATCAGGAGAGACCTCCTGAAAGTTAACGTGCAGTCTTGAGGATAGAAAGGAAAGGGCAAAATGATTGAAACTAGGGATGCACCGATACTAGTATCTGTGCCGATACCGAGTATTTGGGCAAGTACTCGCACTCGCCCAAATGCTCCAATACCTTCCCTGATACTGGAACTTCCGGTCAGAAGTTCCCCCGTAGGGGAACATAAAGCCGGCTTCCTCCTGGCCAATCAGGAAGCCAGGAGGGGGGTCATTACTCGCCACCCCGCTTCCTGATGGGCCGGGATGCAGACTGAATGCTTGGCCGGGAAACCTGGCTTCTCAGCCAATCACAATAGAGCCGGCCAAACATGGAGCTGGCTTCCCAGGCAATCAGATGCCCGGGAAGCCGGCTCCATGCCAGCGGAAGCATCAGTAGCGGTATTGGCGAGTACCGAAAGCAAAATATTGGTACTCTATACCGAAAAACCAGTATTGGTGCATCCCCAAGTGAAATTCTAAATACACTAAGGATGTGACATGTTTAGGAGGGCCTCAAAAACACAGGGAATTGACCTCAAACTAGCAGGAGAGACTAGTTTTGATGCTTGGAGCAGGCGTCTGGGCAGAGGTAGGGAGTTGGACAACAGTAGGTGACAGGACTCCTGTAATTTCACTTTGACTTCAGTGCTGACTGGTAGGTAGGAAAAACAAGCCATATGTGTGAGCAGTGGCATGTGGTATCTAGAAGGGTCCTACACACTCTGCACTCTGGCCATGGTTTCATGGAAGAGAAATTTGAATCTTTTGGCCAGTTTTCTAAATTTAAAATAACTTTATAAGGAATGGTCACCTTTTTTATAAGGAATGTTCACCTTTTTATAATGCTAATTCATTTTTTTTTTAAGATACACTATGGCTTTTGTAGTATGCAGAAGTATAAAATCATGTAATTCATGCCATTTGTTATAGTAAAGTCAAGTATCTGGTGTTCCAGCAAAATAAAATTTGCCTTCTTTTTAAGGCAATGGATCATGTTTACCTTCATAAGCCTTCATTACATGTTAATTCGAGAATGTAACAAGTCCTTATCATTCCGAGGACACCCCAAGACCTAAATTTGATTGTCTGACTAATGGCAGCCATCTGACCCCGGTAACCTTGCCTCTCAATTGGATTATTCGGTTGACACTTCATGCTGCACTTGGAAACACTCGGCTGCTGAAGTTGCTTGCCTGTGTTTACATTGCTGACTTCAGCCTTCCTATTTCACATGGCTCTATTTTCCATTATTGCACCACTTCAGCGCTGCCAGCTTCTCCCTCCTTCAAACAAAGACATTCAGTATTTAGCAGACCGGCGGCTGTTAATATTTTGCTTGTGTGAAATGCAGCAGGAAAAGGGTTGGCCAAGGAGGTAACGAGATGGAGGAAAGCTACAAGATCATTGGAGAGGAACAAATAACATTCCATTTAAAATTATACCATGTATTATGCCACTAATGCATACCATATTTACATGGATTATGAATGTTTTGATGATTTGTTTTAGGACAAGATGTTACAATCAATAAATAAAACCAATTATTCGTGTTTTACCTGCTCTGTGCAATGGAAGAGAAGCCAATGTACTGTCTGTTGTCGGAACAATTTGTGATGTTTTTTTTTTTTTTTTTTAAATAATTTGACTTTCTCGTGTGCTTAGTTGAGGATTAGAAGTGGCCACACGTTTTATCCAGTATCCGGAGCAATCGTAATAATTTCCCCTCAGAATTCCTCCAGTTCTGTCAGTCCAGTAAACCGTTCCAAGCCCAGATAAGGGGGGTGTGGGGCCTTTGAACCCCAGAAACACGTAGCCTTCTATTGTTGTAATAGAAGAGTCTGAATAACATAGAGTCTGGGCTTTCTATGCTCTGCTTTTTGGTGCTTTGCTCCTTGAACATCCAGAAGGGAATTTATCAAAACCTGAGCAGACAAAATCTGGAGCAGCTCTGCATGGCAACCAATCAGCTTCTCTGTCTCATTTTCAAATCGGAACAAACTGAAGCGAGAAGCTGATTGGTTACCATGCATAGCTGCTCCAGTTTTGATACATTTCCCCTCCAGTCTCTACAAGGAGATTTGTTGGACCACTTTGAATGATGGGGAAACCTAAAGGTTTAGTTCACCTCTTGTAAAAACAAAAAATGTAGTTAAGAAGCCCCAGTAGGTAACACTAAACGGCAGCTTTTTAAAAATCTTCATTATGTATCTGCCATACCTGTAGGTCATCGGAGTTCCCCACGGAGCATGTCTGAAAACCTCCCAATATTCTGCATAGTCCCATCCTGTCTTGTTGCCAGGACGAGCCAACCATTGAACACTCGCACCCAGCATCACAGGAGCGAGCGCAGTCCTTGTTCAGAGCCCCGCACATGCACAGTGTGCTCTCTTTGTCTCAGTCACTGCTTGGGTGGCCAGCTTCAGTTACCTGAAGACTTCAAACCACTAGCCCTGGGGTAAAGATGGCCATACATTATGACTTTAGGCCGGTTCCTGAAGAAATTCATACAGTGGGTGGCACCCTTTCGCGGCATCCCTCGATCAGCTGATCGAAGTAGCCAGTCGGAAAATATTTGAATGAACAGAGCTGGTGGCCGCTGTCTGGATACAAAAAGAAACCGTGGGGATTCCTCGCTCCACGCTTGTATAGTGGTAATGGAGGAATCTGTTCTATTGTTTTGTTTTGTTTTTTGTTCAGTCCAGGGGTTGAATGAAAAAAAAAAAATAGAACATTGTAAGGCCAGCTTTACTCAAACTGGCCACCCTTGGACCTGGTTGGACCGAGGTGGGCGACTGATGGATCAAATGTCATTTGAATCGGCTGGAATTTGGTCTAACGGTGGCCCCATCAGCACCACCCTGTTCAACAAAAGTCGGTTTTTCAAAAGTTGGTTTTTCAATCGACTTTGGCTGCAGTCACTGTTCGGCTGAACACTTTTCCACCCAGCTCCTTCAACAAATCAGCGTCGGACACTGTTTTGGGTATTTTGACAGCTGTGGACGCCGACTGTCAGAGTTCAACCACCGGCAAGGAGACTCGAGTGTTTTTTTTCTCGTTCAGCCCGCCTGCCATAAAGTGTATGGCCAGCATTAAAATAATATAACCGATAAGAATACAGCACCGGCACAGAGCTCAGGAAGACGTCCACTGACCATTTCTGCCAAGATTAGCAGTTTGTTTTTTTGCTTGCGTTACATAGTTTTATCAAACAGATCTGAAAGAAAATCTCTTTCGATTTGAATATTTAACAGACCAAAAATGGAGCAAATAAGAGCAGTTTTGTTTTTAGGGTTTACATACAGTTTTTAAGTGTCTGGATTGGATAGCTCGGCTAGCTGATACATTGAATAGAAGTCTGGACAGAATGGTGTTCTGTGTAGAAGGTGCTTCAGACCTTTAAATCCTTTTAATCGCAATGTGTTTTCGGAGAGCCTCTCCCGGTGATTACAGCAACAGCTGGAGGTTTGGGAATTGCGGAATGTTTCATCATCCAAATTCTGCATGCCTGCAGGAAAACCCAGCTCTCTGTGCTATGGCATGCTTATACTGAGCAGGCCCTCTGTGTACTCGGAGCACACTCCTCCCTTTGTGTCATGATGTTACTGGAGGACGCCTAAGAAAAATGTCTCTGCAATGGGCTTCATTGTGTTACTTTTTCAGTTGTATGACATCTTTATTAAAGAATTGAAATGCATATATTCTTTTTGATGTGCTGTTAGGTGGGTGTCAACATTTTTTCCAGAGCATGGAACTCTGCAGATTCTATGGCACTGCTCATGTCTTGCCTTCTTTTTATAGACTGCTAATGAACCTTTCAATACTGCTGATGGGCAACCCAAGCCCTTTACTTCCAGCACCTCACTCCCTCTCGCACCCAAAACAGGAACCCACACTGCTTCATCTCCTGTCTTCTCTGTGGACTCTAGCTCTCTGCATACATTCATGAATGCATGCATACACACAAACATATCATACACATATGTATTTAATAACCCACTGTTGGTGCAGTGTGAAGGCATTATGGTTTGGGCTTTCAAAGTCCAAACAGAAAAAGGTTCAGTAGAGATATCCTAAG